TTTTTTAAGAAAGCAGGCATTTTGTAAAGTGTGCCAGTCATATTTAAAGCAGAAATCTAACATTTTTATTGCTTAAATATTGGTATGTGGTTGGCTTTCCTTGGGTTTATTATTTATTAAGAAAGTTTTAATAAATATGCCCTATAAGGCAAAATGCAGTAACTTCATGTTAAGTCATAGTCTCTTTGATACAATGATCTGACAGATGAGTTTGGGTTAACTATGCTCAGACCAAGAGAAACCAATCACATCAATGAAAATTCAGTCAAATAATCAAAAATTTCTGAAATGCTGTTTTGACATATTTACCACATTTTGTTGTTGTTTTGTCTTGGACCTTTGTTAGATAACAAAACGTCTCAGGTTACATATGTAACCATGGTTCCCTGAGTAGGGAACGAGACACTGCGTCCTCTAGGGGTCGCTATGGGGAACGCCTCGTCGTGACCCGTGTCTGAAGCATACATTGAAAAAACACCAACTCGTTGGCCGGCGACAGCCATGACGTCACTACCGGTGCGACTATAGTATAAATAGGCGCCGGGAGCACACATCATTCACTTCTTCGTCTGAAGCTTGCGTCCGCAGCAAGGCAAGAAACCTAGAGAAGAGAATGATGTGTGCTCCCGGCACCTATTTATACTATAGTCGCACCGGTAGTGACGTCATGGCTGTCGCCGGCCAACGAGTTGGTGTTTTTTCAATGTATGCTTCAGACACGGGTCACGACGAGGCGTTCCCCATAGCGACCCCTAGAGGACACAGTTCGAAGTTCCCATGAAAGGGAACTGATCACTAGCCCTGCTCTATGAACCTATTATATATGTTATGTGAAAGCAAAATTCATATAATCTCACTCTTAATTTGAAACATTGTCAAACATCACCTGTTGCCATTTATGAATCCCACAGCCACAGTGGTCCCTTAAAACAAAAATAACATCTGGGAGTTGCCGGTGATGCTGCATGATAAAGTGGGCCTCCACATATGTTACACTCTCTTGGTGATGCATGTAAGCATCTGGTGGAAAAACGCTTTCTTTTATCTTTTCATGCTTCAGAGCAGAAATGTGACCTCTTGCATTGTGACAGAAATTACCTTACTGTATGGGATCATTAATAGTGCTAAAATAAACCTGTCTTTTGTCTATTATTTTCTTCCGTTTTTCTCTCAGGAATATCATGCGTTTTTTGGCAGTAGACTGTGCTGGTGGTGCAGTCAGACTGAGAACACCACCACCGCTCTATATTTGACTTACTCCAGCATCCAGTTACCACTAATCACTGTGTTGAAGCATTTTGCAGTGTATAAATGTTCCAAAGTGCATTTATATGTGCAGATCTCAGGGTGTGGAATAGGGCTCTCCTGGAGCTGAAAGTTGTGGTTAATAGCAGGAATAATCTGAGAGCAGACTAAAGGTTTGGCGTGAGGTGAAAACTGCAAGCGAGACAAATTATTTTGAAATAATACAATTTGTGTGACTATAACTAGTTCTGTCTTAATGTTCCAGTAGCTACATGGAGTTTTGTTACAAAATGAGCATGAACAGTATCAGGTGGGACCCACTAAGGGTCTTATTCAGTGGTCCCCCCCATATTAAAGACAAAATTTTGTACAAATATTTTTTACACACAAATTCTATCCGATAAAATATTTTGGAGCTTGGCATAACCAGAAAGAATGTAAATTCATTATAAAAATGTCCATGCTATTATAGGGTTTTAATTATTCACATGACTTTTCTAGATCTAGAAATCACACTTATAAAATTAAGCTATCTCATATATCCAGGCATTCTGACTATGTGTGAATTCAAAATAAGACATCAAAATAAGACAATAAGAAAATAAGTAATCATTTTGAGGCCAATAAGTCAATAAGTTTTTTCCCTGGTTGAAAACCACTGCTCTAAAGTAGAGTGCAATTGTGCCTACTGTGGACAAAGAAACAATAGCACATGAGAGATGTGATTTTACCCAGCTAAGTGTTCCTGTTTCCCTGCAGAATGAATGTTGGACAACTGATGGATGAAGAACAGATGAAGGTTTTCTCGTGCCATCACGTTGCATTCATTTTACCATCACATGTGTATCCCAGACAATAAGACTCTTTTTCTCTTTTCTCATGCTGTCTCTCATTGTTGGTCCATCCCTTTTTTAGGCATATTTCTGCTGCTTACGTATTTCAGTCTCTCATGTGTTTGATTTAATAGATGCTATAAACCAATTTCTGGTGAAGGTAAATGCATACAAATTGTGACTTAAGGTAAAGCACACAGTAACAAGCAACCAAGCAATCTATTCCTCCAAAACAACTGAGAGTTGCAATTAAGCCCTAAATAGGACTAGGATTGATTCATTGTAAAACATGTTGTCTCTTCAGACAGCTAAAGACCGTAGGGCCCTTGTCTGGCTGTCTGCAGACATATCTGTGGCTCTCAGGCTGGTTTAAAGGCATTCCTGTCTGTTTTATCAGGGTTAGTAGAGTACAGGCTGTCTCTCATAAGGATCTCCTTATCAGTCTTAATTAATAACACAAATACAGCCTCAGGAAGTGCTAGAGTTTCATCAGTGCACGCAGGCCAAAAAGAAGCATTCTGTACAGCCATTTCTCTCGACTTTCTTATTCACTCAAAACCTTTTCTATCTAGCTATTTATGAAAAAAAGTGGTCTTCTACAAGTAGGCACTCACCTTACATTAATATCGAGATAAAATATTGTACCTGTAAAGCATTCATAGTGAATTTCCAGTCATTTGTATCAACACCAAACATCACGCTTGTGTCTTTTGATAGCTGTCCCAGTTCTTTCATTGTGTTTCTTTGCTTTTATGTCCCTTTGCTTTAATTTTGCACAGCACATTCTGAGGCTTGTTGACAGATGTTTTTGCAGACACAATATGAGATATTTGGACACGTTGATCTGTCTAGACTCGATGACAGTAACACTCCTGCTGCCTTGTTCTTCAAAAACCAGGTCGGAGGGGTCAATGGCACTTTAGAGAAACATTCTCTGAAATTTCTAATGGGGGATTGTAGGAGGAAGGGTCATGTAGGGATGAAACGGGAGGGATGTATGCTAACAATAACACAAAAAATATAACTGCCCTTTTCACCTCCACACTACTTGCATGCGATAAATGAACAGTAATTTTTGAGGAAGAATGACTCTTGATGTACAGTATGTATGTATGGGTGGGTGGGTGTGTTTTCAAATGTGCTTATATAGAATTACCATAGACTTCTCATTCTTAATAGAATCCCTGCTGGGGGAAAGGAAGAATCCTACTCGAGACAAGCGTTCATCAGAAATAGGACATTTCAAATCCATTTGGTTAAGGACTTCAATGTAATGTCTCCCTATGGAGGCTGATCAGAAAAGCAGGCAAAGAATTTGGAAAGCACTAAAAGTATTCGCTAACTTTCAGAAGGACAGCAGAGAGGGAAAAATAAGTTTTATGGAGATCTAGTTCTACTCTGGTTTGGCAAATGGAAAAGGAGTTGAGGATCTGGCAACCCAGGATGCCCACCACTAAGTGCAAACAAACACTGTAGTTAGAGCAAGAATCAGAGAGAGTGCTGGGCAAAGATTACATAAGAACTTAGATCCGTAGATCTCTATCTGTCTGTCTGTCTGTCTATCTATCTATTCAAAGTGTCTAGACAGACCTTTCTTTATAGTTGAAATAAGCATTGTCGTTAAAATGGCAGATTCTCAAGTCAGTTCTGAATGGTTCACCATCCTGCTGTTTATTAGCATGCTGGGTTTGTGAGACCACATAATGCAGCCTTTATCCATCATCAGCCATAGCAAAATAAAATGCATTTAGAGCCAATCCAACATTTCATTCTCCAAATGAAATGGAGTAACTGAATCAGAGGCTTCGTAATTGAGGATGTTCTTGCTTTAAGGCAAATCTGATCAGAGAGGTTTGGCCTCTCTGTGCACTTCGGCTGGGCAGTAGAACTGTGGATAAGGCCTTCGACCTCTGCAGCTCTGAAAGATTGAAAATGTGTCTGGTAAAAGCTTCCAGACCTCCATGCCATTTAGACTGAACAGAAGGAGCCAAAAACCATGAAATATTACAGTTTGACTGCATTGCCAATTAATTGCATGTGAACAAAAGGACTTTCCTGCTGTGCTTCCATAACAACTTAATACATTTGCAGATCTGGGTTAGCGAAACCATTTTTCAAACCACAAATGTCATTCAGGACACGAAAAATGTCTTAAAACACGGACGTCATAATCATTTGTAATGGAAAAAGGGAGTAGAATCTGCAGTCGGCTGCAAAATGAGGCAATAAATCATTTTGCTGCAATTTATAGCATTGCTGTTAAGTGAGACTGGGTTAGTTAAAAGAAAAATTAATTTATTTGATCTAAATCACTACTGCTTCTTTTCCTTTTGTCTGCATCCTGAAGTTCTCAAGTTGTTCCAACTTGAAACCATCAAACCTGTCTTTCCCTATATCCCAAAGTCTTTAGTGCAAGTTTACAAAGGACAAATCAACCTACATGGCCCTACTGTGCATTTTTTTAAAGTATGGCCACTGTTATGTAAAGTCCTACATAGATAGATAGTTCCTGTGGTTATTTTTCCCAGATCAGAGCGCACAGGAAACCATGTGGTGTTAACTTAGAGATGACATCTGGAGGTACCTTGCCAGGAATGGAGACTTTTATGTGTTTTTCATCCATCATTTTCACTTTGCTGTCCTGTTTCTGCTCAATGTGCTTCAGTGATTTAGATTCAATAGCTAAATATTCGTTTATTAGTTGAAGAACATTAAAGAGCAGTGGAGAAATATTGAATACATTCAGCATAAATCAAAGTTCATCTCAATCAACTCAATCTAGATTAGGTGAATAGACTGTCAATCTTAAAGTCTGTCATTTATCTTCATTACTTCCTCTTTTATTAATTACATTTCATTTAGTGCTTAAATTCTTTCTCACATCCACAGACTTAGACATTGTGATTACACAGCTGCTCTTACCGCTGCACGCTGGAAGGCCCCCCTGGTGTAGGTGCCACCTCCTCTGTAGGTGATGGAGGGGATCTCTTTGCTGAAGAGCGAACACTTGTGTTGGTGGGCTGTGGGTGCAGACACATAGTCCACTCTTGTAACCACATGGCTCTTGGAACTAAATGTTACCAGTGCTACACGTGTTGCCTCCGGCGCCACCGGAAAATCTGACAGCAGCTTTCGCACAAATCGCAACTCGCTCCCAAAGTTGGAAGCTCCCATGCTGGACGACTCATCCACGAGGAAGACCAGATCCAGACAGCCTCCCCGTTCCCGAAGAAGACGAACGTTCTTTCGGAAGACCTGGCCGAGACGTTCTACTTTGCTCTCCGCACTCTCAGAGAGGTTTTGCCGGGTTTGGGCCGCTTGACGCAAAGCCCGCAGGGACAACTGCTGTGCCTGGCTCGGCCAACCAGTACAGCCTAAACAGTACAGGAACAATAAGGTGAACCTTAAAGTCAATGTTACTCTTAATGTCACCATGATAACGCCACAAACACCAGCGTCCAATAGTGGTTATGAGAGAATATTGAGGCGTATAAGTTTGTTGCAGTCCTTCTCTTCTTTTGTTTTCTCTATCTTTTCCAAGCAGGGTGAGGCTCCTATCTCTCCGCTGGTCTCAGGCATCTGTGGAGCTCCTGCATTTCAGACACCCTCCAAATGCTTCTCCCCTCTCTCTGAAAATAATTTAAAAAGAGCGAGACGGTGAAAAAAAGTTCGATGAGAATGAGAGAGGGTGTGTGTGCTGGTGCGAGACTAAGAGAAGGAGTGAGAAAGAAGAGTGAGAGAGAGCAGCGGCAGAGGAGGAAAAAAGGGGCAGTCAGAGGCGTTAGTGTCTCTCTCTTTTTCTTCTCGTCCCGTTCTCTTCCTTATTCCCTACTTGTTCTGTCCTTCTCTCTTTCTTTTTCCTCTGCATGTCCTAGAGTGCTTTAGTGAGGTTGTGTGTCATTGGAGCACTCCAGACTGTCTGTCAACCAGTGCCTTTGTGAGAGAATAAGTGTGTGTGTGTGTGTGTGTGTGTGTGCGTGTGTGTGTGTGCGTGTG